GGCCTCCCAGAGAGCTAGGATTACAGGCGTGAGCCACCGCGCTGGCCCATACCTACTCTTTAAGATGTAAAAGTCCCCAGGACTTGTGTTACGCACCTTCTTGCATCAGCATCAAAAAGCTTAACAAATACCTCTTGGTGGCGCCTACTATTTTTAATATCGTGTTCGAAACGAGAGACTCAAAGCCATGAACCATTAAATAACTGGCCCAAGATGGCAACTAAGACCGGATGATAAGCACAACCTCACTAGTGCTAAACTACTTCTGCAACTCACTGGTTTCACAGTGCCTGCACAGGGTTCCCTGTAAACTCAGCTGATATTTACTAATCTTAGGTAGCTTCCAAGTCTACGGAAGTTCTCTTTTCAGTGGAACACTCAACACGGAGTCTTGGACCCTCAAAGAGAACTGCTTCATTTTTACTCCCCCTAAAGCGAGGTGGAGACCACGTGTAGAGGGTGTAGCATTAACCTTGGCTACGCAGCCCTGCAAGGAGAGCCACACTCCCCACCGTGCACCCTTCCACTAAGGGGCCTTCCCTCACAGCCAGCGACCCCAGAGGTTATTTAGTCCCAGGAGGGAATCAGTGAGATCGGAAACCAAAGAACTAAGAAAAAAGCAGCACTTAAGCACTAGGAGGCGGTCCCGCCTCTCCCAGGCACTGCGTCTGGCGGCAAATTGAGAAGCCGGGCGCGTTACCACGGCTTCGGACCTCGATCCGAATTCCGGATCACACCTGCGTCAAGCGCGGGAAGAAACACTCAGGCCCCCACCTCCTGGGCACGCGGGTCTCCAGCCCAGTGCAGGCTGGGGCTAGCGTGGGACACCGGGCCTCTCGACCTGCGGGCCTACCGTCGAGATCAGACGCCGCGGCCAACTCCAGTCGCCTGTCGTAGGCCAGGAGCATCTGTAGGCCCCGATGACAGTGATAGACCCACTGCCTTGGAACCTTTCCTCTTGGATAGACAGGGCACTCAGTTTTCCAGACAATCAAAAGACCTGATAAAGACAGCAGAGACGAACTCTGCCCCCCACCTTTTTCTTTTTGCAGTTTACTCAAAAGGGTCAACAAAATCTTGCATTATCTCTTATTAATACTGTATGAAAATCTTGTTCAAAAGAGGAAAACGGAAGAGTTGTGGCTCCCTCTCTTAAGTGTCTTGGACTCTCCCGCAGGTCTCCGGCCCCAAAGGGCTGCATCTTTCCAATTTCCCCTGTCTCTTGCCCAAAAAGCTACCAGATGTAGGAGCCCCCTTTCCCTGCGGGGCTGCCGGTGGTGGGGACTGATCCGTGTTGACCCAGCAGAAGGCTTTCCACAGCCACGGTAAGGATTCACATCCCAACCGTGCCACTTCCAAGCTGCGTGACCTTGGGACAGCTGCTTGACCTCTCTGAACTTCCATGTCCTTCTCGGTACAACGATATTAATAGTACCTACCTTGCAGGACTTGCGTGGGGATGAGCATGCGCCAGGCACACACTAGGCGCTCAATGAATGGGGCTGCTATAATTACTCTTCCGGGTGGGGGCGGGCCGAGGGCCCGCAGCCAGGCCTATATTTAGCCAGGAGAGGGGTGGGGGCGCTGGGAGACAAAGAGTCTCCGCCAGCCCGGGCGCCTGGGGGCGGAGCCGACGAAAGACCAGCGGCTGTCCGGCCCTCCCCTGCCGCGAGGTCACCTTGGGCTGCCTTAGACCCGACGTGCCCTGTCCCCGGCGGCCCCTTGTCCCTGCGCGGCCCTCATCGCCCCCAAACTGCGGGCTAGGGAGGGGGCGGCCGGGGAGCGGGGGTGTTCAGCCGCGCGGAGAAGCTGCCCCTTCCCAGCCCCGCCTGCCTGCCCGCGGCCCAGCTCCGCAGCGCGGCTGGCCAGGTGGGAGCCGGCCAGGTAGGGGCCTCGCTGGGATCAGGACGCCCAGGTGAGCCTGCCCCGGTAGGGGGCGCGGGAGGGGAGCTAGCCGGCCGCTCCCCCCACAACCTCGCGCTGATGAGTGTCGGGGCTGCAAATAGCCCAGTGGAATCAGTGAGTCACAGAGGCTGGAAATACCGCACCCCCTCTCCTCCGCCCCCCTCCTCCTGACCGCAGCCCGCGGGAGCCGCCCTGGGGAGCACGCCTGGGGGTTGCGGGGTGCGGGTCCCCCCAGAGAGCCCCCCAGGCTTCCTGAACCAGCCAGCACACATACACCTCACCCCCTAGCCTCCTCCCCCAGATTCAACTGGCTCTACCCCAGGGGCTGTGTGACCCTGGGCCAGTCACCCAGCCTCTCTGGGCCTCAGAGCTGGCATCCTGTACAAGAAGGGCTTCAAGAAGGCAGGCGACCTGGTGCAGCCTGCCCACCTTTGTGTCCCTGCGCCTGGGACAGTGCTTGGCACAATGCCTGGCACGTAGTGGCAGAACAACATATATCTCTCGGATTAAAGAATAAATAAAAGGGAAAGAGGGGCGGGCAGCGGGAAGACAGGGTGCTGCGAGGGCTTCACAGAACTAATCCTGGGGTTCCTGCCCCTGTGGGTCTGGGGAGCCACCGAGGAGGCCAAGGACACCCACATTTCTGTGAACTTTTAAGCTTTAACTTGAGCTACCTCCCCACCCCCAGATCTCAAGGAAGGTGCGTTTGTTTATCCCAGGGTTTCCCAGTGGCTGCCTCCAGCCCTACCCTGAGCTTGAGAACTTCAGGCAGGTGGTCTCCAGAAGTCGGTGAGAGGGTCGTTTATTGTGTGTACAGGTTCCAGTGCCCGGGACCTCCCGCGGCCCCGCTCCCCAGACCTCCCCGAAGGGCCCCAGAATGGCAGAAGTGAGAGGTCACCCTATAGCACACTGACCAGAGAGGCTCAAAGGGCAGAAGCTGGCCCTGCCACTTGCCCTGGGGACCCTGTCTACCCACAAACCACCCCTACCCCTCACCCCTGCTTCTGTATGTGGAAGGCTGAGCAGGTTGCCTGGAGCAGCAGGTGTTCCCCAGGGCTGAGGCTGGCCGAGTTCCCTGCCCCAGACTGGGGACCAGGAGGGAATGGGGTTAGGAGCTTTTTTATGATTCTCCCTGTCCCCTGGCAGGAAGCCGTGGGACAGGGTACACAGTCCTAGAGAGGCAGAGTGAGGGGAGACGCTCCTTAGCGCCCAGTGGTGGGGGGTGGAGAGCAGCTGTTGACACCCTGGGTTCAGATCCAACCTTCAGTGACAAAGCCAGGCACTCAACAGCTCAGACTCAGTTTCCCCATTGATGAAAATGGGGATTGTAAATCTGATTTTAGAATACTCTGCATTTGGCCTCGACCAATGGTAATGCTTAGTGTTTGAAAGACAATGATGGGGTGTATGTGTGTGTGATACACACACTAAGCCTGTAGATTCATAGATTTAGAAGGAGGAAGGAGGGGGAGGTGACTGCCCAGAAGAGAAGACTACAAGAACCTGGGGTCCAACCTTGAAGACCCAGAGCCCCATCCATGCTCTGGCTTCCACCTCTGTTGGGTGCGCCTGTCTGCAGGTGCCTGTGGATGGGCGGGAGCAGGACCAGCCCCACCCTCGTCCTACCCTCCTGGAGGCACCGGCAGGTAACGCGCTGCAGGAGTTTCACACAGTTTCTCACGAACAAACTGTATTGGAAAAACCCCATCTACCATATGTACAGATGCAGCATGGCCCTGCCCTGGCACAGCTGGCTGGCTGGGGGCATGGGGTGGGCAGGCAGCCTGCCAGCTAGTTTGGGGCTTGGAGACTGGTGGAGGGGGGGTTACTGTCACCGCTGTCTCTTGGCCTCTTTGAGCCCTCAGGCAGTTCCACTTAGATAGGCACATCTGCCTATGGCCTTCCTATGCCTCTTCGACTCCCCTTGGCCAAGGGAGTCCCAGGTCCCTGGTGCCCCTGCCCCTTCCCTGTGGAGACTGCAGAGATCAAAGGACTTGTCTGTCTGTCTGTCCTGCAGATCATTTGCCCAGATGCCCTGCTTGTCCCCTTCCTCCTCCCTAGAGTGAGTTCTTTGGGATCTCCCTTCCCCCACCTCAACCTTCTATTCTGGATTAAGTAAGGGACGTCATATCTGAAATCTGGGCACCACAGGTGAGGCCAGGGGGTCCCTGGCCTGCCCTGGGCAGAGTGGAGGGCCCTAGTTTGGGGAGTGGCCCACCTGGGGACTAGGGGGCATCAGGGCTGGAACCGGGCTGGTGTCCCGGGGGCTGTGGGAAGGGGTTAGGAAGGCTTTGCTGGCAGCCGGTGGGGAGTGGGGAGGGCAGGGGAAGGGGAGGCCCTCAGATTTTTATCTCTGTTCGGAAGGTCTGCTGGACGTGCTCTGCGTGCGGGTGACGCCGTGCCCGGATGGTGAGGCTGCCATCCTCCCGCAGGGCTGAGGTCACCGATGTGGGGTCCACGTCCTCCGGCAGCTGGCACTTGTGAGCGAAGGTGTTCATGACTGTGCCGTCAGCCGCCAGCTGGGGAAGGGGTGACCGGTCAGGGCGGGCTGCCCCCCATCCCATGCTGCTTGTGTCAAGCCAGAGTCCCCTTCTCCCCACTCTCTCCTGGCCAGGCCCCACATGCTGAGGGGCTCTGCTTTCTGGTGTAGAGGGACTGGCCAGGGTGGTGATGGCCACACGCTGTGTAGGGACAGGGCAAGGGTGCCTAGAGGAGCTCCAGTAGTTCCAGGGGGCAGGCAAGGGGCTTGGCGAGGGGTGGGACTCAGGGAGGGAGGAGGCTACCTGGCAGTGGCTTGGAATCTGGGGCTCCCGAGCATGGTGGGAGAAGATGACACAGAGGAGAGCCATGCCCTCTGGATACCCAGACACACTGGTGTCCACCCACCAGCCCCTCCCCCACAACTCAGCCAGCACATGGTGTCCAGACGCGTTCGGGGCAGCTGAGTCACTGTCGGGGGTGGCAGGGCTGGCACGTGCTGCCCACTGGTCCTGGTGCCCGCAGCCCTTGGCATCCTGGCAGGGATGCCCACGAATCCACCCTCGCGTGCTCGGGGGTAAAGCCGGCCCATGGGGGATCAGGGAGAGGCCAGGGGCAGCATCCCTGCTCAGGCCTGGTCACACCCTCTCCAGGGTGGAGGCCTCAGTGCCTTCTGGGAGCTCGGACTCAGAGACCCTGGGGACCCAGTGACCTGAGACCTGTGAGTGGAGGGAGTGTGTAGGCTGGAGTGTGCGTGACCCTACACTGCAGGGTCCCTGCCTGGCCTTGGGCCTAATTCTGGGACCCCAGGGTGGGAGCTGGGTCTCTGGCTCTGGGATGGGAGAGGGCTGGAGGTGTGTCGTGGGGGGAGACCCCTCCACTGCTGCCCAGGTGAGTCCCCCTCCTACCCACATCCCCCCATGGGCTGCCAGAAGAGCTGTCCTCATGCCGCCATCACCATGTCCCTCCGGTCATCCACACCCTCGGGCCTACCCCTCGGGGCTCCCTCTGTCCACATCCCTCTAGCCCTCTCGCATTCCCCAGAAGCTCCCTCGGCTGCCCTGGGCACCTCGAGGCAGAGAGAGGCAGTGAGGGGGTCCCCTGGCCCATGAGCTACAAGGGGCCAGGCCTTTGGTTCGCTCTGGGGGAGTTTGGGTGGGGAAGGGACACTGGCAGGGTCTGGGGGCCCAGGATGGGCGGTGGGAGTGAGGACACAGGCAGGAGGTGGACTAGGCAGAAGGTATGGTGGGGGGCACCCAGGGGTGGGGCGGGGCCAGGCTCACCTTCTCAGCCCGCACCTCGATGTGGTTGTTGGAGGTGGTGACGATGATGTCTTCGGGTGAGAAGTCTCTTACGTCCACCACAAACTCGTAGGCGTCTCCCAGGGTCTTGATGTTGCCCTGCCCCCCGGAGCGGGCTGTGGGGAGGGCTGCTGTCAGTGGGGCATGGGGCAGGGCTGGCATCCAGGACCTGAGTCTCTGGCTCCTTCCCCTGGGACAAGGGGCTGCGCCCCCTGGCCCGACCTCCCCCCCAGCTCTAAGCCCCTCCTCTCTCTTGCAGCCCACCTTTCCGAGGTGGGGATGGGGCCTCACTCAACAGGGGTGTGGTGTGTGCGTACCTGACAATCTGTCGCAATGCCAGCCCGGGCCTGGAGGCTGGGGGCTGCCCCACCCCTCAACCCCATCCAGCCCTCTAGGGCTCCGGCTAGGACCAGGCCGGGGGTAGCCACTGGAGCCACCGGAGCCCTGGGGCATTTACTGTTCCTTAGGGGCCCATCTGTTTTCATGGCCACATCTGTCCCGGTGGCCACATCTGGCTGGGCCACCACATGTGGCTGTGGGCTGTGCAGCACCTGTTCCTGGCAGATCTGCAGCCACAGTGCACTCGGTGGCGCCCTGGAGCAGATGTCCCCTACCTGTGCATCTCCCTTCCCCCTGGAGCCCGCAGCACTTGCCTGGGAAGGCCAGAGGCTCCGAGTGGGGACGCATGAAGCTGCCAAAATCGTCGGAAAACATGCTCAAGGACTTCTCCATGGGTGGGTCCTGGGCCGGCAGGGCACGGGAGGCTGAGGAAGAGGAGGAAGAGGAGGACGAGGAGGAGGAATGGAAACTTCTCTCCGCTCTGAAGGTGGAGGAAGTCCTGTGGCTCATCCGCGGGCAAGCGCCGGGCCCGGTCCAGGCGGGCAGGGGCTGGACAGGAGAGGGGTGTGGGCACAGGCCTCCGGGGGAGCGTGCCGGGCCCCGACTGCCGGTGCTTTATAAGGCCCGACTGTCCCTGGGCTCAGGGCCAGCCCCTTGTCTACTAGCTAAATTTAGGCCTCTCCGTGGCCCGGAGGGGGCTGGAAATCTTCTCCCGTGAGCCGGCCCTGCTGACAGCCCGACACACGCAGGCCGGGGCGGCTGAGCTCACGGCCTGGCATTCCAGGCCGATCACTGCAGCCCCAGGGGCCTGCACGCCACAGAGCAGCGGGCTGGACTCTGTCCCCTGCCACTCAGACTCCCATGCCTGCCCCACGACCTTGTGGGTTTGGTGTTTCTCGAGTCTTCTGTCTGTCCCTCCAGCCTGGGGGCTCTCTAAGGACTGTGCCTGCCCTTCAGACTCTGGTCCTCTTCGGGCTGTGCCTCCCCCGGCAGACTCAAGCTCCTTGGGACAGGGGTAGGTGAAGCCCCCTCCACACCCGCCCCCACTGCCATGTGAAGTGAGGGGCTCCTTCCCGCAGGGCAGACACTGTTTACCGCCCATCTCTAAGGAAGGGATGAGACAGCCCCGGAGGGGGCTGAGAATGTGCAGCTGTCCCCCTGCCAGCTCCCACGGTGACCGGATTCCATGCTCATGCTCCCCCACCGATTCTCGGAACATTTAGGGGTCCCAAGAGGAGAAAGCTGGCAGCTCGAGCCTAAGCTGGGGGTTGGGCCCAGACTTGGGGGGAGGAGGTAGATCATTTAATAACTGTCCTCGAAGATCTAGAAGGTTATGTTCCCAGCAACTGTCTGTGACCTCCTCAGAGGAGATGCCTCGGCCCGCAGCAGACGGGGTTTAGGTCAGAGGTAGAGGAGTGCTCCGGAAGACGGGGATTCCAGCCCTGACTCCTGGAGCACTTCGGGCCAGGCTCCCGGCTGCAGGCTGTCCAGCGTGGCCCCTTTTGATCCCCACACAGCTGGAAGGAGCAGACATTATTTCCATTTTATAGACAGGGAAACGGAGCCTTGCAGAAAGGGGATGGGGGAGGGGGCTCACACTTGTGCAAGTGGCAGAGCTGGGATTCGAACCCAGATGTGTTGGATCTAAACCCTCCCAGAGGCTGGGTGACGTGAACGTATGCGTGTGGAGACAGACCGCCTGGAAGACCCCAGAAGCCCCTCTCTCCTGCCCACTGGTCTGCAGAGACGGGACTGACACCGTGTGGGGTCAGGGCAGAAGCCAGGGGAAGGCCATCCTGGGAGGCGGCGGGTCCCCTGCCCTGCCCGGGCCACAGTGTGGGGCCTCTGCTCTCCTGCAACTCTCGCCCTTCCTCCCAGATCAGCACCAGTTCCCCCAACACCGGGGAGGCCTCTCTGATTGCTCCCACCCACACAGCCCCCGCCCCAGATGCCCACAGCACTGGCCATCCCCAGCCCCTGGCAGTGTGACATGTGTCCCCTCTCCCCTATCCCACTGGCAGTGCCTCCAGGGCGGGGGTTCTCCTGTCTCCGCATTAGACTGGGGAGGTGGGGACACTTTCCCTTTTGTCTGGCCCCACAGAACCCAGTCTGGAGCTTCATCCTTGGGGGGCTCTGTCTACGGGGGTATTAGTGGTGCTGGTGCTATGTGAAGTGGGTGCAGGGCAGGGCACAGGGCACAGCTGGGGGCCAGGGTGGTGCCTGGGACAAGAGGGTCTGTCACCTCTGCGGGAGATTGCTGCCGGGTCTGGGGCTGTGTCACCCTTCCTGGCCAAGGGGGCTCTAGGGCTGCCGGGAAGCCACCAGCACTAAGGTGAGGTGGAGTGAGGGTGGGGGCAGGTGGGGGGCCCAGAAGCCTGCCACTCGCCAGGGAAATAGGAGCCAGTGGCTAAATGCAGACACACAGTCATGGTGCTGAGGGCCTGAGTCACTGCTCCTGGGTGTCAGATCCCGTTACCCACCCCCGCCCACCATTCCTCCTTCTTCCCCCCGTTCCCGAGGCATCACCCACGCAGACGCTGCATCCTCCAGCTTCAGCGGCCAGGAGGGGCCTCAAAAGGTCACTGAGGCCATTCCCCTGTCTCCGGGCATGTCTTTCCCTTTGGATCATAGGGACAGAAGGAGCTTCAAAGATGATCCAATCCCTTGAATCCCGATGACCCAGGGGAGCTTTTAACAGGGACTCTTCCCTCTGTACCCCAAGATTCTGATTTGGGGTCTTGGGAAGGGACCCAGAATCTGTTCCCATCAGCTCCCCATACGGCCAGCTCACAGGCCAGTGTCTGGAAACCACTCACCGCCCAGCAGTATTTGTTGAGCACCTGCTATGTGAGGGGCACTGTTCTAGGCTCTGGAAGGACTCAGGGATGAATGAGGTAGAGACAGGCTCCTGCTCCTGGGCTCTCCTTGTTGGACAGAAGAGGAAACTGAGGGTCCAGGTGGTGAAGGCGTTAGGGCCGGCAGAGCTGCTCTGGCTTCGAACCTGCTGTCTCCCTACTCAGCCACTTCCACTACTGCTGGTCACTTGATGTGGAAGAGGGAGAAATTGGGGGCTGGCAAGTGGGGGCAATGGCTTTGGAAGGGACTTGCCCTGGGCACTGCACCCCCTTGCTGTCCTCAGTTTCCTGGTGCTTATGGGCCAAGGGGCACAGGGAGGGTGGGACTGTAGCCAGTGGCTGCCCAAGAGAAGAGACCAGGGTTTGGGATGTTAACAGGGCAGCCAGTTATCCTGTTACCGTGAGTGGTCAATGGGTCGGGTTGGCCAAGGTGAGGTGGGCCCGGGTCCATGCAGAGCAGCAAACCCCAACCCCACCGCCCACAACACACACCCCTGCTCCTATTCTGAACTGACTTGGCCCAGCATTCAGGAGCAGAGAGTAGCTCATGGTCCCAGATTTTAACAAATCATTGAAGGGCCATCATGATGTTCAGAGGGGTGGCTTTGTCTGGGGTGGGGGGCAATTGCCCCAGAACTCTTGCCCAAATATTCCAAAAGTGGCATCAAGACACAAATCCTCTGCTTTGTGCCCAAACCATCACCCCGATTAAGCCTCAGGAGCCGGAGGAGCCTGTGGTAGAGGAAGCTCTAGGTTTGGGCTCAGCCTCTGCTGTGCGACTGTGGGTGAGTGACCATACCTCTCTGATCCTCTTGCATCCTCTGCAAAATGGTAATGCTATCCCCAACTCACAGGGCATGGGGAGGAGGAACCGAGCTGCAGATGTAAAGCTCCTGGCACGCAGCTGGCATACAACTTGTGCCTGTTCCCTCGCCACGTCCCTGCACACCCAAGCTGCTCCCCTCTGTTGGGGTGGGACAAACTGCGTGGCATTTACGCAGAAGCCGCTGGGACATTGTGGTTTGAGAGTTGAGTTTCCTGAGACTGGAGGGTCTGGACACAAGGATCAAGTCCAAGTCCCTCACTGGGCCTCGAGGGCCGCAGCCACCACAGTCCACGGCCTTACTCCAGCTTGCCGACCTCCCCCCAGCCTGGACAAGACAGGCCACCAAGGCAGGACAACGGAGCACAGTGTGGGGTGGGAGCCCTGGCCGTGCCCTTGGCCTCTGTGATCTCAGACAAGCAACCCCTCGCGGAGACGCCGTTGCTTCACAGTGGGACAGCTCTGCCCACCTCGCTGGGTTTCCTGAGCACTCACGGTAATTTCAGGGAGGGTCGTGTGGGGCTGGCACACAGGGGGTGCAGTCGCGGTGGCCCCCCCGCTCACCTCTGCCCGGGTGCTTTCCCCTGCTCTGCCCAGCCTCCTCCCCTCTCCCTTTTCTGCTTTTTCGAACCCTTCCATGTCCAGCTCTGAGAACCCAGTTCCCTGAGCCTCGGTGCCAGCAGATGGCCCCTCACGGCCCTGCTGTGTGCACGCTCCCCCTCCCAGGCCCCTCGCCCAGGAGCCATCGGAGCTCCACTCTGCAAGCTCTAGTGGGTAAGGGGAGCCCCGCTCCCCCACCTGGGCAGCTCTGCCCTGTACCGCTCCAGCCTGGGCAGTTCTGGTTGGTTTGTCAAGGACATTCCTAATGGCCACAGTAAACCCCGGGCGGGGGGTGTTGATTGGTGGAGCACACACCTGTCCAGGTGCACAGGAGCTGGAGGCCAGGGAGGCTCTGTTAGAGGAGGGCTGGCCGCGGGCACAGCAGGACGGACTGACAGGTGAGGGGCCGCTGGGCGCAGGACTGGGGCCTGGGCCTTCCAGGGCCAGGGTGGGCAGGGCAGAGGTGGGGAGGGGCTGGAGCCAGCACTTCACTTTGACCCTCGGGAGGTCTCCTTCAGGGCCTGGGGTTTTCCTGCCTCTGTGGCCTGAGCTGTGGCGGGGGAGGGTGCTCAGACAGGGAGGCAGAGCCCTGATGGGGACCCCTCGGTGAGAGAGAGACAGTCCTGGGCTAAGAGACTGCTCCAGGCAGGGGGGGCAGCCAGCAACCCAGAAGGGTGGGAGTGGTGGCCTCAGAAGGACTTGGGATCCTGCCTGTGTCCAATCTGTGGCTGGACACAGGGCAGGGGACACCTAGATGCCCCCCCCACCCCCCTGCCCCTCGAAACACACAGGCACACACCCTCGGTGACGGACCCTGAGTGATGAGGGCACGCGCAGGCCTACGTGTCCTCCGGATGACTTCCCACACCCGCACACACGGGAAGACACGACCTTTCCTTTTTATCTGGGAGGGAGAGTATGGGGAGGGCCGAGAGGCAAGGCAAGGACATCGAGCAGCTCGCCAGGGCCCAGCCCTCCATCTGCTCCCCCAGGGACCCGATGGAGGAGCTGGTGGGTCTGCGTGAGGGCTCTTCGGGGGACCCTGTGACTCTGCAGGAGCTGTGGGGCCCGTGTCCCCGCATCCGCCGCGGCATCCGAGGTGAGAGCCAGGTCCCCTCCCCTCCCCATGGAAGACCCCTCAGGACGTCACCCCTCCCAGGCCCCACACCCCCCACCTCCTTTCATTTGTCCCAGGACATGCTGCCCTGTCTCTTGGGTGGCAGAGGGGGGAGGGATCTGTCTGTCCATCTGTCTGGGGTTCAGATGGGCCAGGCGTCTGCACTCTGCCTTTTGGGAGATACAGCCCGAGGCCTGGTCGCTGGGCCACCCTCTACCCAGTCCTCCACCCTCCCCTGCCTGTGCCAATGAGAGGCCCTGAGGGTCAGCTGCCAGGGCAGCTGGTGCCACTGCCAGTGGCTGGGGCCACCGTGGACTTGACATCTTTCTTTGGAGCCCCACGTGCATCGTTTACTCTGAGACCTGACTGTCCCCTTAGCTGAGGGGCAGAGAAGGCAGGGACACCAGAAGGGGGCTAAGTGCAGCCCCAGGGGCTGATGCCACGGCCAGTGAGGGCAACTTCCGGGCTGGGCTGGCAGCCAGGGGGCCGGGGCGTTGCTGGGGGCTCCTAGGAGAGACGATGCCGCAGGCCCTGGGCCAGCGCAGGAGTCGTGCTAAACCCTCGTGCTCTCTGAGCTGCAGACCCTGCTGAGACGCTGGTGAAAGCTGTGGCTGCCAGCCCCGCTCCACACACCCCTGCCCCCGATCAACTTCCATAAGGCCCCAGTATGGGCAGGGGTGGGAAGGGAGGGCGGACAGGGGCACCACAATCCTGCCCAGCCCCTTGTGTGAGGCAGAGCCCACTCTGCACTACCCTAGACTCCATGGCTGGCCCCAGCCCCACCCTGCCCCACCCTGAGCCGTGCCCCCATGCTCCCGCCCCAGGTGGCCTGGAGTGGCTGAAGCAGAAGCTGTTCCGAGTGGGCGAGGACTGGTACTTCCTGATGGCCCTGGGGGTGCTCATGGCCCTGATCAGCTATGCCATGAACTTCGCCATCGGCCGTGTGGTCCGAGGTAACCTTCCCTGGCACGCACGCCCTGCTCTGGACCACGGCATTCCAGCACGCTCTTGGAGATGCCACGTGGGCCTCCAGGTGCAGCGGGGGGCCGGGGGAGGGTTGTGGGTGGGGCTCTGGTCCTGGCTTCACTCCTGACTTGCTGTGTGACCCTGGGCAGGCTCCTGCCCCACTCTGGGCCTCAGTCTCCTCATCTGCACAAGGGAGAAAGACAAGAATGTGCCCAGAGCACTTCCTCCTCTGAGCTCCCTGCCCTGCTCTTGCCACCCCTGTTCCTTCCTGTTCCCTCCTCCTGCTCTTAGCTCAGTTACCCTGGGGATGGGTGGAGGGTAGGGGGTGGGAGGCTGGGTGGTGGAGGGTGGGGGATGGGGTGGTGGTGGTGGGCGGGGGCACTTGCCTAGACCCACCAAGCATAGATCTTTCTTTCCCTACCTTTGGCAGCTTGTCTCGGCCCTGAGGCCTCCCTGGAGGAGGGGACGTGGGGCATGGGGCAGGAAGGGCCTAAGACACTTTCTCTGGAGACTCTTAGCTGCCGTAATGAGGACCTACTGTGGCCTTTGGTGCTCCACACCCTGCCTCGTTTAGTTCTTAGTAGGTCTCCTTTAGTCTTCAGTGATCTGGGAGATTTCATCACTAGCCCATTAGATAGATGGGAAAACAGAGGCTCAGAGAGGTTGAGTCGCTTGCCCAAGGTCACTCAGCTAGAAGTGGCAAAACTGGGATGTGGACCCAGGGTTGTAATCCTGCCTCTTCTTGAGGGTCTACCACTCACCGGGTGGCCCTGGGCCTCCCCTCTCTGAGCCTCCATTTCCTGATCAGCGAGGGTCTGGCCCTGAGGGCTTCAGAGGCTATGGGTGGCTCCCTGATACCCGGCTGTCCCCAGCACATAAGTGGCTGTACCGGGAGATTGGGGACAGCCACCTGCTCCGGTATCTCTCCTGGACCGTGTACCCTGTGGCCCTCGTCTCCTTCTCCTCGGGCTTCTCCCAGAGCATCACGCCCTTCTCTGGAGGTGAGTCCACGGTCGTCACGCCAGTGCCCACGGGCCAAAACTTTTCCTACCCCACGGTGCTTCCGACAGGGGAGGACAGAAGGCAGCAGCCCCATTTCACAGCTGGAGAAGCAGGCTCGGAAAGGTCATGTCGAGGCCGAGAGCAATGGCTCACGTCTGTAATCCCAGTGCTTTGGGAGGCTGAGGCGGGAGGATTGCTTGAGGCCAGGAGTTTGAGACCAGCCTGGGCAACATAGGGAAAGCCCATCTCTACAAAGAAAAAAAAGAAAGAAAGAAAGAAAACATTAGCCAGGTGTGGTGGCACATGCCTATAGTCCCCGCTGCTCAGGAAGCTGAGGCAGGAGGATCGAGTGAGCCCAGGAGTTCAAGGCTGCGATGAGCTACGATCACACCACTGCACTCCAGCCTGGGCAACAGAGTGAGACCTTGTCTCTAAAAAAAAAAAAATT